TTCATTGAAAGTAACAAGATAGTATTTCAGCATATGCACCAAGTAACCCTTTCAATCTCAGACATCTCAGACTCTGGTGAAGAGTGAGGTGCATCCTTGGCCTTTTCAACTAAGTGGCATTTATCATGCTTTCTCTTTTTTTAAAAAATAAAGTTTTTATCTTTTCTATGAATCACTTCAATTTAGTGGGGCTTGTAAGAAGAGCTTTTGTCCCCCACAGCCTATTGTTTTTATCAGGCTCAGGATATCTGTGTTAACCAACCAAAAGTGTTGTGGCCAAGTAAATTGCCCCCCTGAGCTGCTCTTGTGTTACTCTATATGTGACATCATGCAAAACCACATTTCCCACCCACCTCCCCGGCCCCAAGAAGTCATTTGTCCTTGCATCACCTCATCCTTGCACTACTGTACCACAATATCCAAATTATTATAGCTTGCGTGAATTACTGTAGTAGTTTGGGGTGAAAATCTAGGGGTTTAGATGTTTTATAGGGTATTAACCAGCATAAAGTAAAATAAAAAAAGTAATAGAGGTGCCCCAGCCTGAGGTCTTATGTGCTGCTTATCAGTCCAAGTACTGTTCCGTGATTAGAAAGAGACCTTAATAGCAAGAAAGTATTTCTACAGCATTCTTCAGGCAAAGTTAATCTTCCCTCACCTTTCTCAGGAGTTTGTGGTACTCAGCATCCATTTTTTACCCCCCTAAGAGAGAGGCAACTTTGTAGTGAGGACCTCTCCAATACATCCTTTTCACAGCAATGGAAGAGGGCATCATGGAGAGCTCCTACCCCTACATACAGGAGAAAGATCCAAGTTGTGTGCTTTTCTGCCCCTTCTTGCACAGAGCTCAAAAACTGGAACACAGCGTGCATTAACTGTTCTCTCTACAGTTCTAATTACACTGTCTTGCCTAGATCACAACTAGCCTAGAAGAAGCTCACCGTTGGTTCAAATCCAAGTTTGACAGCCTGCAGCTCGAAGTTGTGAAAAAGCACCAGCCAAAGAACCCTGAAGAGAGCAGCTCCAAAAAGGAGGTAAAGAAAGCAAGCACATTCATTTCAAAGGGGGAAGCAAAGAAAATAGGTGGGAGAAGTATTCGGTAGTTCATTATCAGTCAGGATTTCAGTTTCCTAAACTTTCTTTTGTAGTTCCTTACACAGGGGTGGAAAACAGACCCCCTCTTCTAGTTTAGTTTGGTTCCTCCTCTCTTGCCAAAGGACATATTTAAGCAACAAAGAATATTACAGGTACAAGATAGCTTCAAGGGACTGTTTCTGTACTTAGGAAAGTTCTATCACACATACTTCATGTTTTGTTGATGCTCATTAACCAAATACTTGTCTGAAAGCTGACAGCTGGTATATTTTCTTCTCTGCATTCACTTCTGTTTCAGTGGTTCTCCTTCCCCTCCTCCATACCTTTTACAGATACCCTTTCAAAAGCTGTGCTTACCTTGTCTGTGTAGATTCATCAGCCTTCTCCATAATTGATAGTTCTTATATAGCTGTGTAGTTAGCTTTTTAGAGATGTATGTATTAAACCGCTAAAACTTTAATCTCTTCTTTAGTAATGACAAAGATTCCCCAAACAGTCATCAGCTTCATAAAACATTGCATCTTTTCCCAGGAGAAAAAGCAAGCAGAACTTCCCACTCACACCTCCCTGGACAGCAGGGCAAGGACCCAACACCACCAGCTCACCACCAGGAAGGCCCGCGTCAGCTGGGCAGGAAATGAGCTCACTTGACGGGGTGATTCCCAGCCCAGGGAGAGCATCACCTGCCGCCAGGAGACTCCCTGCTAGCACCCAGGTGCTGGAAGAATCGGGAACTTTACTTGATCTGACATAGTTAGATAGGTCCGTATCACTGAGAAGGCCTTGCAAATGAAAGGTGCTCACAGGGCACCCGTATATAGGGGACCTAGGAATGCTTGTTTAAATCATAAACTCTGATTTGAATTAACTCCTACCTCTCACCTTGTCTTTTTGACTCAGGTGCTTTGCATTGTGAGGCTGATATTAACAAAACTACTATTTCTAGCAAAACAATTACTCTTTATTTATCATTACTGTAAACTATATGCTCTTGATATGCTACATCTTTGCGTTCATCGCTTTTCTTTTACCAGCTTTAGACTAAGGCCTGACAGGTGCTATCAAAACAAATCTCAGACTGGTTTGCAGAGGGTTCAGGTGAATTGCTGAAGACCAAGTCATGTGTCTGTGGCTGGATGCTGACATGACTGGGACAGGGAGGAACTGGCAGGACTGGCTGCTTCTAATGTAGATAGTATCTGCGTCATGAGAGAACATGAGCCTTGGGCTATTTTAGGAGCATAGAAGGAATTCATTAGGTGTGTGATGTTATACCACGCATCATCTTACCTTCATAAGAATTAGTGGAATTTGTTCAACCTATCCTACTGTGGAACAACACACTGGGGAAAGAGTAGTTGAAGCAGATGACGTAACATCTAAAATGTTGAAGATGATTATAACATGGACAGTTTTCATGCTTGTTCGACTAAGGATCAGCTCACCTTCGTCATGGCTTACTCTTCCACATGCTTTCAATACAACCTAGTTTCAGTACAGGTGGTGTTACCCTCTGATCTGCTTCAACAGAGCTGTTTGTTTGCAAACTCCTCTGTGATACTATATTTCTGTGGGCTCTATACATGTTATTTGCAATACTTGTTTGGTTTAGTGGGGAGGGAAGTCTTGCATACCTGCGGAGCTTAGGATTAGCCTGAGGACACACTAGAATTAGCTCGTTCTGCTCCTCCAGAAATCTGGTCCTAAACTGTAACTTACATGATAGGACTCTGGACTAATTCACGGTGACCTGAGCTGCTTCTCCTCCTCAAAGCAAACAGCTGTTCTAAGGAACAAGGGGTGGCTGAGCACACTATTAAAGCTAATGCACACCTGAGCTTCATTAAATTGTGCTGGTTAAAAGCAGGCCTATGCAATGTGGCTTTAGGTTTGTCCCAGTCAAGCTGGTTCCTTCAGAAATCAATTGGCATCTATGCCACACCTGCTCCATAAAGCTGCTTAGGTGGCTTAGCATCAGCTGTGTCTCTCTACCTCCACAGTGCCCTCAGGCAAACAGCAGTCAAAGCTGTAATCCAGTTTTGCTTGCTATGAACTCAAACTGTAGAGTAATTGCAGCTGAAAATGGTCTTCTTCAACAGCACTTACCATTTAACACTTTTGTTTATACTGAAGGCTTAAGTAGATTGCCTAAGAAGGGACAAAAGATTGTGACCGTTGCCTGTGCAAAAGGACAAAGCATAAGGCAGCTGTGTTTGAACTGCACGTTGGCAGGGCAACAGCACCAACCACCCATCTGTTTTCCCTCTGCAGGAGTTTTTTACCAACATATGGTATACCTCAAGAGCTGGTTCTTCACCCCTTCCTTGTTCCAGAATCCCCTGCTCTCTCTAGGGCTGTGCATCTGCAGTTACTTTGTATATTGAATGCAAAGTCTGATTAGATGGCTGTGGCCATTAAACGTGGTACTTACTTGTATTTGCGTAGTGACAGTCTATGCCAGGTTCAACACATCCTGTTGCTTCTTTTAAACCTGTTTGGGATTTAGGGTGGAAGGCAGTAAGATACGATGTAATTGTGAAGGATTACTGTATCCCAGTACCTTTTCACTTTAGCACTACCTTAAGTTTTGGCTATGCATGCTCTAGCAAGTGATGCAGCTCAGTGGCTCACATGCGGCATGACAGAGCTGGTCCAGCTGTCCAGGATGTGGTTCAGATTGGTTTTTACTTCAGATTTGCTCTAGTCTGATCCTGCTGACTGAATGCTCACTAGCAACTGGAGCACTTCTGGAAGCCATCTTCTAACTTGCTTTCATTTGAAAGGAAACTAGTTTGTCTGCTCAGAGCCTGTTCTGCAATGTGAACCACAGCATGGTGAGTGGCAGCTCACCCATTCAAAGCATCAGAAGTACACAACAGACATGAACTTGCTATTTTCTTTTAACATAGTAATTTCCATAAAGTTGTAGTAATTGAACGCTGCTGCCACCTGCAGGATCAATAATTGAGGTCTACATTGCTAGCCTTTCCCGGGGCTTGGTAGCTGCCAAGTCTCTTAGTTATAGTGATATTTGCAGTATTTAAAAATGAATTTTCTAAGCAGCGAAAAGGTTGGTTGTTTTTTTTTTTCTGTCAATCTGTGGCCTTCAGCAAATGGGGATGGCAAACAGCTTTCTACACTTGTCAATGCTGGCATCAGGTAAGCACAACTGAAAAGGTATGACTCAGTTTTTAAGACAATCAATCAGTAGATGCTTTTATGAGCAGTCTTTCAGCAATAAACAGCTAACAAAATCATCATGGTTAAACCAAGTCGTTTGACAATATATGTAGTATGTTTGACTGAAACTGTCAGAAATTCTCTTAGTGAGGCTTGAGGAATATTCCCAACATGCCAATAGACGAGGCTGGCATTGATTTAAGTATTCTTTCCCTCTTAGTCTCTTGTTCTCAGTGATTTATGAAAGCTTTCCCAAAACTGTAATGGCTGGATTTCAAGCTTTTCCTGCCTTGCTCTTTGTTCCCACACATTCACAGTCAGGTTGGACGGGGCTCTGAGCAACCTGTTCTAGGTGAAGATGTCCCTGCCCACGGCAGGGGGGTTGGACTAGATGACCTTTAAAGGTGCCTTCCAACCCAACCTATTCTGTGATTCTACGATTTTACATTTCAGTAAAATAGTCCTTACTGTGAAGGAGAATTAGGAAGGGTGCTGGGTTCATCTCCCCCAGTGTTACATCCTTGTGAGCATCCTTAAAACAAGCTACACCCAGGTAAGCCTAAACGTGAATATAGCGCATACCAAAATAAATCCCATACAGATGCTCATACCTCAAGAAGTACTTGTGTTTCAAACTCACAATCCCTTGTGTATCCTCCATCCCTTACATAAAATACAACGATGAAATGTGCAGTACATGTTCACAACTTCATTGTTTGAGAAAGAATTCCAAAGTAAAGGCACTTTATTAGCAGTATTGCAAGTGAAACATGGTTTAAAACTTACCCAATTCTGTATTGGACAGTACAGCTGTGGCTATATACTTAAAGCCTAGATTAGCATATGTATTTTCTGTACACATCTCATGTTCTGTGCTTTGCTTTTCCTTCAGGCAGGTCAGTTCACGTGGGCTGCACCTGTTTAAACTTCTTTTTATTGGGGAGCTCATGTTCCTACAGCGTCTATTTTGTCTCTTGCTTTGTCTGAAGTCTTGACTAGTCTAATCTGTTACTGCTGCACCATTACAATATAACATTTATAATATTGTGTAAAAGTGAAATCTAAGTAAAAGACTGTTTATCTCATAACCATATATGTGCAAGTTGGATATAGCTAAGGAAAAATCTAAGTTCTCTCTTCATATATAGTTTTTTTCCACAAGCATTTGAGAAAGCTTTAGATAATTGGCATTGAGACAAGTAGCATCTCTTCCTTCCAGATGCTCACAATTGTTTAGAACATCCTTTCAGAACACTGTTTGCTAGCAGGATGAATTTTCCAGTCCATATTGACTGGGTTTAATGAAATGCAAGTTTCTGTTATTTGGTGCTTAAAAACAATTTAGAAAGCAGTTTAAGTGTCATCAGCATTCAGATTGTATTTTTCCTTTTTATTTGTATGAATGCTAAGATTCATACCCCCTCGGTTTAAAAACTAAACTACTTCAGAATTCTAGCAGCAGTAGGGATCAGAAAGAAAGTAATTAACAGTAATGCCTTGATGTTGGTCGATTTTTAAGATGAGTCTTAAAAAACCCCACAACCTTCCTCTATGTCAAGTCTATTTTAAAAAATGTACAAGCAATAGGATTCCGAGTATTTCAGACTCAGTTCTGGAAAAGGGTAACGCAAAGGGAATCTGTGTACCAGATCTCTGGCTTCTGTTTTCTAAGCGTTAGTTCAGTGCTGAGGGCTCTGTTTCCTGGGACATGATAAACTTTTTCCGTATGAAGGGACAAGAGTCATTCGCTGCAAGAAGCAAAAAAATCAATGGGGTTACAAGATGTGAAAAGGCCAATAAAGAATAAGGAAAGCTTCAACGAAATAATTTTTACCCCAAGATGATGCAACAATACTATGCTTGTACATACGTTGTGAGTCAGCTCCAGTTCACACAGCAAACAGTTGGCTATCAATCATGTCAAAACCAGTGATGAGGTATCACAAAGAATGAGAAACAAAACGGAGCTAAGGGAGTCATTCTCTCCCTTCTTCTGCAGCTTATGAATACCCCAGGCTAACATAACTAAAATGGTTATTTAATTTATAGTTCTGCAAACCTGGCATGGGACTTGTATTTAGGCAGTGCTGGCAAGTTCTATGTCCAAGTAAAACATGCTGTCCTTAGTGAGACTTCCTTGGTATTTGTCTCTTACCTTTGTATTCTCACTATGGCCCAGCATCTCTAGTGAAGTGGACATGCAATATATTGTAATTTAATGTTTGATTTGAGATAACATTGCCTTACCTTTAAAATTAGTCTAGGCAATTCCACAAGACTTGTTTCTTAATCATTGATTGCAATTGCATGAAATGATTACAGAACACAAATACATATAAAAGTGGGCTGAAAGCAAATAGCAGTAGTTAGCTGTGATACCGTCAGTAACAGGAGTGCTTGGGAGGCAACAGCACGGTTTGTTTTCTATTCAGCAAACTACCTTGCTGAAAAATATTTTTCAGCCTTATTTTGCTGTAGCGCATAACATATATCCATTTCTATATATACATATAACTATATACTCATTTATGATAAAGCATTGCATCCCGCTTCTCTTGCTGGGTTGGAAGCAGCATGCTTCCACCATCATATGCTACCGTTCAACTGTCAGAAATAATTAAAAACCCAGACAATTTGCAATGTATGTTAAATAATAAGCTGTATGATACTATCATATTAATTTTTGCTATAAGCTATTCAGTAGGATATATGTTTGCTGAGAATGAGTAAACATTATCATTAACCTCAGAATTTTTATTAACAAGTTCAGAAGGACAAAGCTCACAACTGATTTCAGTAAAGCAGAAATCAATTATCTCCTTCAAATAGAACAGCTGCTGGGAATATGAACTCCTAGAAAACTCTAAATACTTTAAAGATCTTGAAATACCGAGTTCTCCATCCTCTAGGGATGAGAGCATTTCTCTAGGGATAAGAGGTATGAGCCCATTTCTTCTGTATTATAGTAATTCAATGCTGCACATTAAAAACCCCTCATCACCAGTGAATATGGCTTTTTGAACAGCCTCGCGGGTAACCAGTTGTAATACTGCACACGGTAAATTTTCCCTAAAAAAAAACCCCAACAAGCCGCACCGGGCTTCAGCTTTCGCTGTTTGATTCTATGTACAAGACTGAATATCACATTACAGAGCAATGCATCAAAGGAGAAGAGCTAATAACAGACATGCTTGAGCATGTCAGCGTTGTACTGGGAACAGACAGTTTCCATCCATATGCGGTACAGTTCAAATGTCAGAAGTAGAAGTCGTCCATAAGGCTATACACGGCACAAGCCATGTCTCTGACCATCTATAGAAAAAGTTGCACATAAAACTGGTTTCCCCAGCACTGCACAATGCAAAGGTTAATACAAAGAGTATCAATTCCACCTGCCACAAACCTCATCATACAACTGCGTAGGTATACAACATCTTTTGAGCCATTCTAGTATTTCCACTGCTCTGATAAATAAGCGACAAGTTAAAGGCAGTATCTCTTCTCAAGTCTGTCTGATCAGTTTCTATTCCCTGTAAAAATAATGATTAAAAAAAGTTATCTGTGTGCAAAAATAGTACAAAACTTGAAACATGAGTAGCAGTTACAGTGGAATCAAATCACGCATTCATGGTTTATCCAGGCTTTCAGCTGTATAGAAACATAAGAAGTAGTATTCCTTGTGCCCTCCGTCCTTAATGAGTTTCCACACGTTGTTAATCACCAGAGAGTTATATAATTACATACTCAGAACATGAGCCCTAAATTAGATCGCCAGCTCACAAAACAGGAAAGTACTATCTTAAGTTGTCTTTGTATGCAAAGCACTTGTTTCTACAATCAGAATGTGAATACTGCCTGTATCTTTTACAGGGTCACAAGATTGCCGCTTTGAACTCCCAGTAACACCCACGTGCCTTACTTTAGCAACCCTTCCCGTTTCCTAAACACACTTGTAATTTTTCTCCCTACCCATGCCAAGGCTAGGCAAAAACTTTCTCTCAGACCAGACTTGTAAATGTATGACACATCAGTCAGGATGATCTCATACAGATCAATCAGAGCAAAACCATGGCTCAGATGCATTTAGGCATTCTTAATACTGGTTCATATTGCTCCAGCGTGCTGTTTTATAGCATGGGTGAGTATATAGAACTTCCAGTTATAATTTATTGCATGTAATATATATAAAGTTCAGCTACTTCTTCAGGTAAAGTTGTTTAGCAACCCCTTTTGCTGCTACTTCAGCCTATTAGTAAATCCTTCAAAATTCACATACCTTTGAAATTAACACATGCTTAAATACATTACCAGGTGACAATAACTCAACTACACAGATTTTATGTACCTATTTTAACTATGGCTGAGAAATTATTAACATTGACCTGACTTTATTCTCTGTACATAACTTACAAAGATACAGTACCTCTAAGGTGAGAGGAGGAAGTTCAAGTACTTTTTGGTAATAGTGGATTGCCAGGTGCAGTAATCCCAGCTGGTGAAGGCCACGGCCAAGGTTGTAGAAAGACTCTTGACATGGTCCACGCAGGTCCAAGTACCGGTGAAGGAAGGAGAACCCCTGTACGCATATTATGCACATTTGTGAATGTTCCCTTTAAGAAGCTGGCAGTAAAATATGCTGGAGAACAGGTGTTTAAATGTATCTATTTAAACTTTTGATCTATGCTTCCCCACAAAACCACGTGCAAGTTGAAGGCAAAAAATAAGTCACATTGGATTGCTGAGACTACAGAAACTGTGCTCTGTCAGTCTCACTGCCATTGATAACAATGGGTAGATCTTTTTAATAAATAACTGTGTTCAATTTATTACAGTGACTTATGGCACTAGCTTGCTAAATATGTAAGTATGTATGTATATGTTTACGTATATACACGCAGATAAGACTGGTTCATGTTCGAAAGAGCTGACCACCTTTAAAAAACACGCAGGCAAATGACAGGCTAGAGCAAGATCTTACTTTTCTTAAAAAAATCTTTAAAAGATAACTCTCCCCCACTTACTTTTTTTTAAAGGAGAAAAAAAAACCCAAACCTTCATTCCCTTTCCTTCACTCTTTGCCTTGGATAACGGCAAGAAATGGTTTAATTCTACAACTTTTCTGAATTCTACAAAATTCTGAACTCACGAAGTACATATCAAAGTAGTATTTCTGGAATGCAAGCATATTCTTTTCTTGATCTTGTGCTCCATATAAATGTTTACTCCAATACCAGTTATCAGGGAAATTATCAGTACATAATATTATAAAGTGGCCAAAAATAAACATCACTGAATAAGGGCATGAAAAATCCGTATATCCTAAGAAGCGGGTGAGAGATTACTCCTTACTCCAATACCAGTTATCAGGGAAATTATCAGTACATAAAAGTGGCCAAAAATAAACATCACTGAATAAGGGCATGAAAAATCCGTATATCCTAAGAAGGGCGAGAGTTGTTTAACTGCCAAGTCTCCAGCAGAATTTGAAAGGAAACTCATACCCAGCAATTCCAGTGCTATGCTTTAACAAATTTAAAGTCGAAGCACTCTCTAAGTGTTATACTTCTTATTTTGCTTTTAGTTTAAAATTAAAATATATGCTTATATATTTAAAGTATATGACTAGCAGAATCCCAGGTGTACATAATTTCGTTGCCAACCTTAGTGTGAATACCTGCTCCTCCTATGGGGCACGCTGTGGTTCAGACAGAGGAGCAGGACCTACCAGGTACTACGCGCCTATTCAGGTGCGTATTTACGTCCCTGAAGATGTAGAACAGGGCAATGCATAAAGTGGCAGTGACCAGGCACCGGTGGAACAAACTAGGCTCATTTATACACTGACATGCTGTAAAGCAAGAGAAGTGATTTGTTTCTCATCTGTAGGATGTCACTGCCTACCAGCTTGGTGTGTCACGGACTCTTCATGACTCAAGGTTTGTATGATGCTATAAAGATGAATGGCATCAGACCAGAGCTACCTCCCATACAGAACAAAGGGAAAGATAAAGAGGTCTACAGTATTATTTTACATTAAAATGCAGCATTTCATTTGACACTGATGGAGCCCTTGGGGGAAACTCAGGAGGGACAGATAGAAGAGGTGAATTCAGAAGGGAGTAATCGAGCACACAACTTTTTCATCCTCTCCCATGCATTTCCTTTTGTTACCACTTTGGAAGGTGATGATTCTGTTGTAAATAGAGGACTTTCTTTCTAGGGACCGTGTTGGTAATCAGAGAAGATACCTCCTTCAACATGAGGAATTAGTTCAGACACAAGGAGCTAATGATCATAATTTAGGTCACCAGTATGTCACTGTGGTTGCATTATTAATCAACTACAATAGGAGCAAAAAAGGACGTAAATATACCAAGTATAGTAAGCAAGAAGTGAGAAGAGAAAAAGCAGGGAACTGTATCACCAGAGGGTAACATAAATAGGACATCGTTCAAGTACGTTACAAAAGGAGAACATAGCAGCCCATATAAGAAAGGCAGGCTGATTACAGAAAGAAGTGGATAAAACTATTAAAATTAGGCCAAAGTTTGCAAGTTCGAAATCTCTTAAGATACTGACATAATTGGTCTTGTTTTAGAGTAGCTGAGGACCTTTAGTTTTTGTCAAAATCAGTGCAAGCTACAGTTTTTCAGCAATTTCAGAAGTCATGAGAGCTTGGGATCTTCACAATATTCTGCTGACTCTGAGCTCAGTGGCGACAGGACTTAAAAGGCATTTCAAGTTAATGAAAATACTTGGTGGAGAGTACAGGAAATTACTTTCAAGATTCTGTTTGGGAATAATCAGCCTGTGGTTTGTAACTGGATCTGGCAGATGAAAGAAAAACGTGAATAAGGAAGCTGAAAAACTGAGGGTAGCCTACACTGGAGTTCACGAGATCTTTACAAAGAGAGCTGTAAGTGGCACCTAAAAGGGGGAAGAGAAAAGGAAGATGGGGAAAAAAACCCACTTTCTAAGTCTCTAAAGTTTGCTTCAACAATGCAGTTTATGAGACGTGTCTATGAAGGGCACGTGGCATAGATTCTACTCTACAGCACTTCTTCAGAGCAAGGCAGGGCAAGAAGAAAAATTTGGAAGAAAATCCAGACTACAGCCATCAAGACTGAAATTAGTAATATTTTCACAAACAGCTGGCAGCTGCTGACATCTATGTGAGCAATCATTGTATACACACAGCAGAACAAGCTACATTTACTGAAAGGAGAGGAGATTCAGATGGGCGTAACTATAGTTCAAAAGCATACTCATCCGTGTTCATTATTCGCCACTTCCCTCTTTTGAAATGTCGTATTCATTATGAAAAGTTATTTAAACAGAGTATGTTGTAGCCGTAACTGTCTGCAAGATACAAAGCCAGGAAACACTATACGTAAAATAATCACACTAACTCACCTGTACTAGAAGAGCATGCCTTTTCAACACGTATTTCTGAGAAGCCATGTGGATGAAAGTCAAGCCAATACAAAGACTGTACAGAGGTTCATCTGGGTTTGCACGAAAGGCTTGCACATACTGTCCTAAAAGCAAATAATTGAATCGGGATGGTTGTTGTGAAAAGCTTTCCTTAAGAATTTAAGGGCAAAAAAGAAAATCTTCAACTTAGAAATGTGAACTAAGAAAACAGTTTAATATACCTGCATCAAAATGCACAGGAAAAAACGTGAAAGAAAATGTTACATTTTCAGCATTCCTTGGATTCTGAAGGGAAAATGCAAACTGTGATGTAAAAACATAAGCAGAAAAGAATCAGACACAGAAGGCAAACAAGGTCCTTGCTGGGATTTATATCCTGAAGGCCACACATCTTAAGTGTGACATTTGGAGGGCTTGACTGAAAGCAGTAGGTTTACTTCAAAGGCCTGCTTAAAATGTCCAACCAACGTTATTGCTGTTTAAATTGGTCTGTTTCTGTCCTTCTTGTTCTTTATTATCATTAGCCTTCAATTATCTTTGCAAGTTGGTTATATTTGCAATGTGTGCTAAACTTGAAACAAACCAGCTTAACTTTTATTAGCAAAACTCTTTAGTGATGCTTGGATTTGTGTACAAAATAATTAAGGCACCAGACTAACACTGTGAAGCCACCTATAATTTTCTGAGGTATGAAAAAAATGACTTTAATAAATCTTTCTCTGAAAAAAACATTCACTTCTTATATTTGTTAGTATTAGAACATTAATGACATTACCAAGAGCATGCTTGAAACTGCCAGATACAAACGCATTATGCCCGTTTAGGACACACAGTGCGTGATTATCAGGATTTTTCAGCATTAAGCGGAGACAAAAGCGATGGTGACGGACATCCTGAGATTGCATAGTAACTTGATTGAATATGTTCCATAGCTGAGGTTTATTGACATTTTCCATTACCATGATTCTACAGAATGAAAAGCATACAAGAAATTAGTAAACGCTATAGGAAATACTGTGTCTGCAATAGAACCTCGACAGTTTAGGGAAGATAACAAAGAAGAGACACTCAAGGAGCAGGTCAGTGACTGAGGCAAAGTTGAGAGTGAAAGACAGAACCAACGGTTCTGGCCAAATCAACCAACCTACTGCATTATGCATTTTTTTCAATCAAAGGCTATCAGAAAGCTCCTTTAGTTTCAAAAGCCTTATCTGTTTTAGCAAAAGCTGGAAAGCATCAGCCTGCCTCCTTTAGCGATATTTTCAGCAGTACGACTGCAGCCGCAGTGGAAGCACTTACAGAACAGGTTGCTCTTCCTTCTCGGTACCCCACCTGATATAGTTGTACGCTTTTCTGAAGTTCTTGTCCAGAATTGCAGCAGAGAGCCCAAAGTATTCCAGCTCCTTGCGCTTTTGTCGGTCATCGTAAAATGAATAATACTCCAGTGAGGAATCCACTAGTAGCTCCGCCTCCTTGTACCGGGAGAGGTCACACAAGGAATATATAGCCTTCAGGAGGAGGTTCCACCAGTCATCTTTTGTCAGAACACTTGTGAGAACAGCAAAAATGGCTAAAAATATAATATAAATGAAGTCAGTAAGTTGAGAAGATAAAAACAAGAGAGCTAAACTCTTAAAAAAAAGGTGCATACATCACACTGTTCTTTTCAAAAACATCTCAACATTAACGGGTAAAATAAAGATAAAATATTTACTTTTTTCAGTTTAAGTGCAGTTTGTAAAACACCAGCAAAAAAACAGTCAAAACTTGGGAACAAATGGCAAGAAATACACACAGTTCAAGCTGTAAACATACTATATGAATGCATTACAGTTACTCTTCCTAATCTACCAAACGGTGCTTAAGAACGTGTAGTCTGGCTCAACTGAGTCTGGGCCAGTTTAAAAAAATCACACCACTTGTAAAACATATTTCTATTATGTTCTAGACTTGCGTGTATTATATTTGCACTGAGGAGAATGTTGGACCGTATGATCTCTAGAGGTCCTTCTCAATCTGAATTATTCTGTAATCTTATTTTTCTCTGAATGGGGATTGTTCCCTTAAGTTATATTATCTTCATTTTTGCTGCCTTCTTTGCCCTAGAAATAAAGCAATGTTAACATGAACTGCATGGATTTTAGCATGCAAAATAGTAACGTTTATTTCATTTTTCAGAACTAAGTTCATCTTGTTGCTTTGTTGTTAATAAACATTTGTTACCTTTCGCATCGCAATTTGCTGTCTCTTGGTCGTCATTGTCAGAAATTTTATCCCTTGACACCTTAATAAGATAGAGGTGTCTCTCTCCAGATTTGGAACTAGATATCAAACACACCTGAGCTCTGCTCATTGCTACCTAGAAACAAATTTAAGGGCGGCATTTCAGATTACATTAACACAACCTATGACAAAGGCAGCTTTATGGCCAATCCATCTTGCTCACGTTGCATGCCAAAACAGTCTGCAACTTAGAAACGCCACAATAGAGCAAGATCACGAGAGAGAACATTCGCACGAGGAGTGTTATCTCTGCATTGTCTCATGCTCCAGTGCAAACTGGGCTATGCGAAAGAAAGATACAAACTCTTTAAATGGCTTAAAAGACTTTTCCTGGGATTGGAACACCCCTGTGTATATCGAAATCAAAACTATTTGCACAGAGGCATAACAAGAACAATGCTTTTCTGTATCAATTTCAGAAATATGTGGGTAGTCAGCTATTCAACCGGTGTAATATAATAGTAACAGCTGTGACCAGATGGATAAAATTGAGATCTAAATATTCCCCTCCTTCTCTCCCTACTTAAACAAAAATCAATTAACACAAAACCACCACCACCACTGTAATTACTGGCTAAACAAATTCTTCTTTGGCCATTTTATCACAAGAAAATATTAACAACAAAAAAAAATCAAGAAATTCAAAAGAAAGTTGTTGAAATAGAAGCCAGTATCAACACTTCACAAAAGCACTAGGCTGACTGCTAAAAAGGCAAGAAGCAGCTTTAGTATTCAGTGTGTTCTATGCACAGTGAGAAACAGGGAGTTGAAGTCACCGTATTAAGAATTACACACAAGTGGTCCTCTGTTCTGAACACTGCAGGCAGGAACACCAGTATTATAGGCTCCCTGCAAGATTATTACCTAACAAAATTATGAAACCATCTGCATATAAAAAACACTACCTTTCCTCCTGAGTTTGTTTGTCGCTTGTCTTAACCCAACTCATAGCTGTCCCATTTCTTAAAGTGCAGCTGGAAAGACTGGCTTACCTTCAACAGCATTGCCAGCATCGTAAGTAAAGTGTCTATGTAACCATACATTTTGCCTTGGGAATACAACAGTGTCGAACGATGGAGGAGTAGCTTTAATTCCTAGATAATATTGAACATTATTATTTAACCTCTTGCACAGAGAGTGAGTTTATAAAACAAACAATTCTGACTCAATACAGTACTAATAGGATTGTAAAATCTTCTAGAAAGCTGTAAGACTTAGCAGCAGCAGGTAAGATCTCCCTAAACTGCCCTGCAGTAGTTACTGTTTCAAATTCTCAAATTTCAGAGAAATTCGGCGTAACTCTTACCTATAGTGAAGGTGCTGCTGGAAAGGGGATATAGAACCTTTTGCTATGCCATCAGTTACAACCAATAGAGGCCAAACCATGTAGCTCGTATGTAGCAACTGCTGATCGACTTGACGCAAAGTGATTGGTGTCAAGATTGATTCTGTGACCGAGAGCTTGTACATCACACAAAAGTAATCAGGTAGGACAGGGGAAATACTGATAAAATGGCTGGGGAGAAAGAGCCATGGGGACTCATCCCTGATACTCTGTAATGAATCATTGGCTGTGCTCTGAAGGCTCACCATGCTGTAGATAAGTAAGTCTCAATCCCTGGTCCTATATAGTTGACATCTTTGACGACTACCATAGTTTAGCAGAATAATATATCCTAAACTGGAAGCACAGAACACTTTACCCACCTGCTGGGCAGCGTTAGCATCCTGAGCCAGTGTATCTGGATCATACATTGGTTCCAGAGCCTCCAGAGCTTTTTCAGGTCGGCCCAGCTGCTGCTGAAGTGTTGAAAGTGAGATTCTTGCATCCAGATGCAACGGAGCAAGATCAACAACTTTGGCATAGCTCTCTGCAGCACGCTCCATGTGTCCCAAAGCCTTCAAGCACTCTACAAATACCATCAACACCACACTTAAATGGCAGAAAAAGATTTCAAAGCTTGCAAAATAGTTAACACACTTTTCGGGTACTTTCTCAGTTAAAACCACCCAAAACGTGTATTATTAAAGTGATGCTATACAGAAATATGTACTGATGCACCACAGTTTCACTTAAAGCATCATCAGTTGACACAAGATGGAATGCAAAATAGATGCTGTTTCACTTACATGAAAATAAAGTATTTTTAGCTGAAGTACATTTCAATCTATATGAAGAACAAGAAAATGCTCCATGACAGAGTTGTCATAATAAACTCCAATTATAGTTTTGCAAATACCAATTATCATTCAACATGTGAATCTAAAATTCCAGTTATCTTAGATAAAGGTCCCTGGAAATGCTTAGCATTGTATTATCATCTCTCAGTACCACGTGTTCAGCAGTCCTGCTTCTTCTCACCTGCGTGCCGGAGCCAGACAACAGCCAAGTTGTATCGTTCTGAACAGACAAGGGAACTCAAGAGAGGCAGTGCTGAGTTGTATTCTCCAACATCCAGAAATGCCTCTGCAACGTCCAAATACAAGTCACCCATTTCTTCTGGATTTTGTTCCACCAGAGTGGTCAAAAGAGGCTTTAAAAAAACCACACAAAACACTAAAAGCACAAATAACCAACGAGAACATTTCTTTAAGATACGGTTATTGGAAGCTTACATTTTTATGCTATTAATTTTATTCTATTTGCATTCTGAACTACACTTCCTTTACTTAAATGTTAGTTTAAAAGTGAAAAATAAAGACCTGAATTTCAGAATTCCTGAAAAAGCCACATTTTTCTATTCTAGACATCCTACCCATCCATACAGTTCACATCCAATGGGTGAAAGTGCCCATCAGTGAGGAGTGCTCTTCATGAAAGAACAGTCTTCAGATTTAGTAGGGCTTTAAAACAAAGCGAAGATGTGTTCCTTAGCGTTCAACAATTTTGCAGTGTGGTCCTGGGCCTGTCACAGCACATAGGCTGTGATTTACTGTGCTTTAGTAATACTTCCACTGGAGGCATAATTTATAAGGACAAAAACAGTATTTCTGCTATTACAGGTTTGCTAGGTTTCTCTCTTGGAGTGGGAGGGAAGCAAAAAGAATCTCTGCAGCTCCCCCAATGACCTCAGTCATACGAAGACAGGAAAAATTACTTGCTTTGGTAATTTATTAGAACATCCCCCAACTTCTGAGTTGGTTTCTACTTACATTGAGCGGCTCTAGGATGTTCAAGTGAACCAAGCACACCATCAGCTTGACCGTGATGTCTATGGGAACGCCCTCAGGTATGCAGCAGCTGACCTTCTCCACAGCTGTGAGAAGATAAAGAATTTCTTTCTGAACCCATAGGCTTTAACAAGCACTTCACAAGCTCCACATCCCCTCCAGGCCACGTTCAGCTCCAATGAAGAAAATATATTCTCACCGATTCTAGCAAATGTTGGTGTAGGCCTGCCCTCTCCCTTTCCTCTACATCTTTCCCGATAGTTGGAACAACTTCTTCCTACTATCTCTGATCCTAACAATTTCATCTGAAGTATCAAGTGCTGTCAGCCTGCATCGACTTCAACAGCATGATCCCGTGGGATGTGCTTAGAGCCTTCGCCCTCTTAAGCTGTGCTTGCTTCATAAAGCAATTTATGCACCTGTACCCTCTTCTTCTTGCTTTCTGAAGGAAATACCCTGTATTAAGCTATTTGTTCTTATTAAGCTGACTCCTGAGTAGCAGGGATCTGGCTGTATACGTTGTTAAACACAGTTAACTACAGAACTCTACACAACACATCGACAGAATGCAATCTGATGACAGTGCAAACACGAGACAGAGTAGTTACCCATGACAATGCTAGCAAACTACAGGTCATACAATAGAACTCCATTGTTATATTTCCTTCACGTGCAGCCTGACACCTCCTTAACTACCCTGTTTAAGTTCTCCTTCACCTTAATTCTTACACCAGACATATAAAGGGTGATTGCTATAAACTGAGAAAACTGTGGTTTCCAACATAAGGCTTCCCTATTACCTTCTACATTCACATCCAATTACTGCAAATCACAACATGCAGATTAATTCATCATTCTCTGCACATCTTAATGCCCAGCATGAGCTACCGATAAATTCTTATGAAATGAAAAATTTTCTTTTCAAAGTGGGTAAGCCCTGGGAGAATGCTTCTGGCTTTGGTGGCTGGCTGGGTTAGAAGTAAGTTCTGAGTAAGGAAGACAGTACACAGAAACCTTTTCTGGATCAAGCCCTATTTCTCTGCTGTTAGAAATTTTTCCCAACTTTTATATGATTGCAACCTGGTTCCTGAGCATGTGATCAGTTAATACACTTGTATGAAATTAAAAAATTAAATTACTTACCTGCAGCACTGGATTCAGCAACCGGATGACTTTGGTCATCAGTCACTGTCTCCTGGCTTTCCTGAGTTTCTACCGCTGCCCCTGTATCTTTTTAAAAAGATTAACAGATTACCATAGTAGCACCAGCTAAGCCAAAAGTTACTAGATTTGGAATCCATACTTGATTGGTAGCTTACTCTGAAAAGTAGACTTTTTTTTTTTTTTTTTTTGAAGGACAGCAGAGCAGGAAGCATTCAAAAAAGTTATAAAGCAACAGCAGGCAGGGAACCAAGCTCTTGGGTAGTTTAGAAGCTTTGTCTTACGAAATTACACACCCCAGGTAACTTGGCAACACTGTTTTAATTCTTAGACTCATTATAGTTTTGCTTCTTACAAATTATCTGTTAAAAGTCTCTATCAGGACAGTTGTTCATTGATCAACTGTATTTTTACCTGGCCCATTAAAGCAAAAAGCCAACAGAAGTATCTTATACTACATTGGGTTTGGACTGGATTGCTGAAACAAACAACCAGTTTAACCACAGAACAGACTGTCTGCTTATGGAGTTGGCGTGCTGTGATCATTCTACAGCCCAAACAAACATCTTCAGACTTAAGCAATGACTTTCACGAAGCAGGTTTCCCAAAGATGACCTACTTTATTCAATTACAAGCTAATATCCCTAGATTTCTATATACCAAAACATTTAAATGTTTAATAACAGAAGTAGGATTGATGAAGAATATTATCCTCAGGTCAAAGGTTGATATTCTTGAGTATAGATGCCACTAAACTTATCTAATTTTTTTTTCAGAAGCTATTTAGCTGGCAGAAATAACTGGCCTGATGTGAACACTCCAAAGAATGTTTAGAACTTTAAAAGGCCTCCAGTTGCCTGGAGAGCAGTCCTTGTCCTTAATGAGTCAGCAGGGCTAATTGGACATCAGAGTAACTCCTTATAGAAAGCTGAGGTCATGCCATGTAACTCATTAAAAACACTGAAAAGTTTAAAAAGAGAAAAGCCTGTCAACATGCATCAAAATATACCCATGAGTTGAAAAGGTAATGGAAAGAAAGATGTCATATTAGATGAACAGCAGGGTCATACTAACTGCTTGTTAGCTACTTACCTTTTTTCTCCTCGGTTGGACTTTTTTCTGATACTTTCTTTTCAAGTACAATTCCTGCAAAATCTGTAATAACCTAAAACAGATGAGTAACTCGGATCACTTTAAAGATTTAAAGGATATATGGAGTAATCAGCCCATATGGCAGTTGTTTTAGACACCACAGAAGTTATCAGAAGAAAAGCTGCATTCATTTCACGTGGGGTTAGTTGACTAGTATTGAGTTTGATCACCTTATGTCTTGGGCATGAGGAAAAATGTCTTTACTGAAAGAGTGGTTAAACATTGGAACAGGCTGCCCAGGGAAGTGGTTGAGTCCCCATCCCTGGAGGTATTTAAAAGACGAGTAGATGAGGCACTTAGGGACATGGTTTAGTGGACATGGTGGTGTTGGGTTGACGGTTGGACTCGATGATCTTAGAGGTCTTTTCCAACCTCAATGATTCTATGTCTTTGTCCGCTATTTTTGGACTACTTAGATGATCCAATCAGCATCTCTTTAGCAAATACAACACTTACTTTCATCACAACTAGAGAAGTTTTTAACCTTTATAGCTTCTTTTGGAAGACTGAAAAAGAAAGCAAAGCACCAGGTAAACAGCTAAGCTCTCCACAGATCTTTCCAAAGTGCTCCAAGGATTCCTCAGCCTAATACATCACAAGGAAACGATATGGTTTGCCTCAGTTAAAAGAAATAATTAAATAAAATTCACAGCTACATAGACATTTTACAACAGCCCTGGTCACACACATCATGACCTCAATAAAACTAGTATAATTCAATAGAACAACTAATTAAAAAAAATAGAAACCAAAGACAGACAATTCAAGACATTCACTTGCCAATGGGGAGCTGCGAGGACGGAAACGCACAAGTGTAAAGGACCGTTGGTCTAAGACCCAATGCAGTTTGGTATTTTGTTCATGAATTGAAAAGTAAATATTTAAGTCATTACTGTTGCCAAAACAAGAGTGATAAACACAGGGTACACGGCCCTTAGAGGAACATACCAGATGATTGTATTAAGATAGTTATTTTTTAAAGGCTCAGTTTACCAGCTCAAATACAGTTTCAGCTATCCAGGAACAAGAAACACCATCACAGGAACAGACCTGAGAAGAACCATCAATAAGAAACAGGGGAACAGTTCTATGACTGAGTACTGTATTAATAAATCTGGCAGCTAAATACTGTGTACATAAAATTGACTGATTTTTAAAATGGGAAGAAGTACAGAGAAGGGTCAGAGGAATTGTTTGCAGGCTCATGATGCTTTGCACTGACAGAAAGAGAACTAAATAAAATCTTAAGGAAGAAAGAAAAAAAAAAAAGGAGGTAATTTAATAACAGCAAATAAGAATGTTCACAAGGAGAAAGTCCCAACTAATAGTGTCTCTTCAATCTATCTCAGAAAGTATAACAATGGCCAGATACTAAAGTCTTTCCTCTCAAAGCCAGACCAAATCAACTCAGAAACATGCCTCAAAAGTGAGGGTTAAAAACCGCTAGAACAAATTTGGAACAGATAAGCGATCTTCTCCGATTCCTGATGCCTTAGAGTCAAGATGTATTGCCTTTCTGGAATGTATGCTTGATGCTTAATGCATAAATTATTAGTTGTAACACAAGTATGCCGGATAAAGCACTATGGTCTGCATTTGAACCATTAGACCATTCAATGTCACCCTTTTAACCTTCAACTTAGAGAATGCCCTTTGCTGGTAGTACTCACAAAACCAGTTCATAGGTCTTCGCTGGCTACTAAGATTATGGCATTTGTATAGAAGGAGAAGAAGGATCCCAAAATTTTAAACCTGGAACAGCATACAAGTCTATCAGCCCTCAACTTATTAAATCAAGCCGTTAACTTCAATGCTAATGACTACAGAACTAATAGCAAGCAATCTGTATCTGATCAGCTCTATCACTATAGAAATATGACCGTATTTAAGCACTACGGGAATATAAACTATCCATCCTGACTGGCAAAGAGGTGCTGAACATGATACAGAAATGCATTTAATTCTCCATACCGCCAATGCTTTGTCATACTGTTTGGAAGAAATATATAGTTCAGCTGCGATGTTAACATCTTCCATGGAGACAAGGCTCTGGTGTTTAGTAAAGGCTTCTTCTATTATCTCAATAGCAGAGGTCACATCATTGGCTTCATAATAACTCCTATAAAACACAGATATGAGCTACTAAGTATTTGAGATAACTGACAATATGTACCTTGAACACTAGGAAAAGGATTTTCATGTTTCTTTTATTTTTGCCTATTAGCAAATATCTTCATTAGCAAGAGTAAACTACAGAAGACAGTGAGAAAGGGGGTGTTTTTTCTTTCCTTACAACTTTTATGTATTTCAAATTATTACCATTTTTTTCTCCCCTATATGTTAGGACATTACTGGAATCTTCATCACAATATCCCCCACCTCGAGCCAGGTATCAATAATGTATCACATTAACCTGGTTTCAGAAAAACCTTCAATAATAATATTGTTACAATACACGCCCTTGCATTTTTTTTGTGCATTTCACAACCATGAAGATCAAAAGACTTAAACTGTTTTGAAACAAGCCAGTAACAGTTTTCCACAAGTTATGCATGAGAAAGCTGAGATATAAAGTAGTTGAACAACTTACTAAAAACTACAATAAGAGAGCTACACACTTTAACTACAAGCCTTCTCTGTCTCAGGCAAGCTTCTATGACTTGATCTGCTCTCATTAGCAGAAAAGGGTAGGAAGCGGATTTCTACTTGCTCCAGAAACAAATCACAAATGACATATAAACTATACTCTGTTGCAGATGGTTTGTATTTCAGATTGAATACTTTGTTTCATTCAGATTTGCTGGCAGCAAGTTTCCAGGTCTCTAGTGATATTATATAGATTAAAAATGTACTACATTTGTATATAATTGTATACTATTGGCATTTTTCCAGTAATCAGTATTTGCATTTTATTCTCCTACTCTAAGAGAGTGCAACACTTCTAAGATGATGCATTGATCCTACACAGGATAACCCCCACATGTCAGGCTTCGGAAACACCACAATAGTTGGGGGGTGCATGCTTGTGTGGGGGTCACCCCCAGCAAAAACACCTGCATTCCTTGATTTCAGCTACATACCCAGCTTGAATCAGCGGCAGAGCTTATTAATACCAGCTTTTGAGAAACTCTGGAAAACCAAATCACAGTATTTTAAAATCCAACTTACTTTGCCATGTCTCTAGCCAACTGCATAAAGCGCTCTCCATCAGAGGGAGACAGGAGATTCAAAATACGCCTGTAGCCATCCATAGCCATCTTATGTTCCCCCAACTGTTCATACAGGCTTGATCTCTCCCATAGATAACGCACATTGGTTGGGTCATATTTCAGAGCTACAAGAAAAAGCATATTAGCAGCCTAGTTTAGGAAAAGGCAACAATGGATTCCACATTCATTTCCTGACTAGATGAATGTTAACGGACACACACAAGGTTTTTGTAAGAAAAGGACATCCTATATTAAAGATTCATTAATCTTTTACCAAAGTCTGGACAGAGATACCAGAATCTTAGCAAACTGCAGCAAACTAAATTAGAAAGCAGAAGAAAACAAAATGATTGCCATTAACACCTAACATTTATTTTAAACTATTAAAATGGTTGCTACGCTACCTTTTGTGTAGCAAAAAACAGCCTGTTTAATATTGTCCTGTTCCAGTGACATTTCTGCAAGTCTAACCCATTCCTCAGTATCACTAGGATTTAAGTGAGCTGCAATTAGTTCAAACTGTAACGACTTCTCCATATCACCCTGGTCTTCGTAGATCATGGCAAGAGTGGAAAATGGCTCATGAGCAAGAGGAGCTGTGAAAAGACAAAAAGAATGATTAAGAACTATTGTTTTAAAACCACCTTGAAAACAAATAACTGGCCTTTCTGCAAACAACAGATATCAGAATTATATGAAACATCAACATTGCTCTGTTTAAATTCATAAAAAACTTGCAGACAAGCTTCCAATTCCTTTTTATAAATTATTAAACAGCCTGACTGAATCTAACAACAACCATTTATAGCATTATTCTACATTGTAAGTCACGCTGATGTTTAAACCTTGGTTCTACAAAGGCGATAAAAGCAAACTGTGTAAAGCTAAGCAAAGGCCCAGGCCTCTGCAGAATTAGGGCGCTAGTTTCTTTTTATAAGCAAAAGAACAAAGGAAACGCAGTACGAATTCTCAATTCCACACTACTTACATGGTGACTTTCCTTGTACTGCGTATTTTCATCATCAGTGAAGCCACACGGAATCTTCGTTGTGCACATGGCAATTTCACCCCATCCTTAAAGTCAGAAAGTTTCACCATTCTAACATACCTTGTCGAATGATTTCCATGCACATTAGAATAGCCTCTTCACGTTCTCCTCGAGCAAACCTGATATTGGCCTCTCCCATCAGACCCCTCAAGGCACGAGGAAGTTTGCTGCGAGGTCTTTTCTCCTAAATGGAAAAGGGATATTATTTCTACCGAGGATTCAGTTGTGCCCAAATTCGGGAGACATCAGTCACACTTGTGCTTAACACAACCTAATAACAAGTTACTTAAGTACTAGCGATATTAAAATGACTGACCAAAATATTTGCTAGTTTTCATAACTGACAGAGTAACTCTGATATCTAATACAAACACGATCCAGACACTGAAAAAACTCACTTTAATATTTTTTGAAGTTTTCAAACAGTAATCTACAGTAATTTTTTAAAAAACAAAGACAGGCGACACCAAGACAAGCAGAAGTATCCTACACGGAATTATTTTCAGGCAAGTTTTTCAGAAAGTAACTAAAATCACACAAACTGGCATTTATGCACTACGTTTCAGGAGATAAAGGGAAGTTACATGAAAGTTTAAATACTTGCTTTCATCATTTTCTTGGTCTCTCGATTAAGTACCATCTCCAACACAAAAACGTCTCCAGCTGTGGGTTGCTCAGTAGTTTCTTCTTCCTCCTCCTCTTCTTCTTCTTCCTCTTCGTCCTCCTCCTCCTCTTCATTTTCCCCAAGCATGGACGCAAAGACCCGATGAACAGATTTACTGACGCCATCTGAAGTTTCTCCTGGTTGAGAAAGAAGCAAAAAGGGTTTATGATATAATCAAGAGTACATGCTGCTTATCAGGACAAGTGCAGAGAAAACGGAATTCTTCATAATTAGTAGCCCACTTGAAACAGCTATTCTATAAGAAAAAGACCTGCAGAAATGCAGAAAAACTATTAACAACCTCTTTGGTTTTAAAATTCAATTCATCACCAATGCTTAGTATACCCCAGCCTCTAACATTTTTTGGATATTTGAAATGAAAGCACGGAGGAACACACAGAACAAAGCAACAGTTTATTCAACATTTTTCTCAAGCCATACAAAAGAAGCATATTAAGCCATTTTCAAGCACTGAACAGGTTGGATGGAATAAAGCTTGTCAGCTGAAGAGGCTAAGCGAGCAGACAATTATACTAAACAATAATGCAGCAACCAATTTTTAGAAGTAATTTAAAACAAGATCTTGTAACTATTCTACTCATGACAATAAGCACCTTTTAACATGTGTAAACACAAAATCTGGATTATTCACATTCCTCCAAAAAAAGAAATAACAAAATTCTTTAAAACAAGTAAGAATATGATGCTATACATCCAAAATAAATATGCTTAAAGCATATAATCTTAAAATTTTTCACATTTTTTAATTACAGCTTTTCATTACTAAGTTAACCCAGGGTTATAACTGCCCACAAGTCTATATCTATGCAAAATACCAAAATATGTAGTGTTCAGATGTTTCAGCTGGGGGATTGGGCAACTGAAGATTTCATAAAAGAATATAAGTTGGGACTGAAAAATAAATCTATCATGTATTGCCTATATACAAAAGGGAATTGGGTACTACACCTGAGTTCATGGTTTATTTTTTTGTGGGTTGTTTTTTTTCTGACTTGGATATTAAGCATCTAAAAATCAAGATTTTTCTTCCCTCCCATCTGAAAAAAACTAACTATTAATGTAATTTCCCTTTTATTTCAGTCTCCTTGGCTGCAGGAATCATCTGAAGATTGTAGCAGATTAGCTCTGAAGATTTGTGTATCAAAAGTGATTTTAACAATGACCTTTTCTAACGTTTTTCTTCTGAATATCCTAAGGCTGATTCTAACAGCAACTCTTTAAATAGTGATAAATATTATCAATGCTTCCTTGATTCTGACTGCTCTTGAGACTTCTGTGTTCTCTGTACAAGAGCAGAAGTAACACTATCACACAAATCTATCAGGATATGTTTTTCTCTTAGATAAAGATGACGTGCATGAAAAAACATGTAACAGACTAGGTGGAATACAGAGCAGAAAAGAGCAGCTTGGAAGTATTTCAGAGATATCAGCAAAAAGAAGGGATCAATAAGAAACCACAGATATCTGGCTTCAACCATAATTCCAGTGTTCATTTTCTGTCCTTCTAGGATGAGGTCTGGCCATACTTTCAAAATCAAGGCACCACTGACGCAGATTTTAGGTGAGAAAATTTAAGGCTTATTTTTGGAATTTAAGAAAAGAAAAAAACAAACAAACAAACAGAATGATGAGAATTTGCAGTGAAAGTAGCAAAAGGAGTGTAAGAACCAACGCAAAGAGATTGCAAAATTGCACTTTGCTATCTGACAGCATTGGCAATCCCACAAGAATATGCCCTGACCGGTGCATGGAGTACAGCTTCTGAAGAGAAGGTGTCTGAAACAGACTGCAGCACTCTAAATCCCAAGCTCAAATCCAGAACCTGAGGCATGGGATCAACAAGCACTGATACAAACTAAAGAGAGAAGTGCTGCTCCTACCACTTCCTACAAGTCCTTTCACTATGTAGGAACCCCAAGGAAGTTAAGCTTATTTTGCTAAGGCACCTAAGGAGATATTACCATCCCAGTAACTGCACAAAGAAAGCCAGACAGGGACTCTGTAGCTACGAATATCCAGCAGAAAATGAGGAGAGAAATAAATGTCGGCACTCTAAACAGGCCAAAGGATAACCGAGCAGGAGAAATAACACAGAGAAAAAAAGAAACTCCCCTTTTTAGCTATTTTATTTCACTTTGGATGACAATGGAAGAAGGCAACACACAGCAGAATCAAATATTCTGAAACCTTCAAGTCTCAGCAAAAGACTAGCAAAGAGATGAACAGGAAAAAAGCCAAAACAAAACAGACAGAAAACTTTTTGAGATAAGTTAAAAACTTCAAATTATTTGTAATTTTAGAGAGAGTAAATAATTGAGACCAAGAAGCCAGAAGGGGGAAAATGGAGGGTTTCCCAGAAAAAGATGGCCAGTTGGGCCAGATCCAGCCCCTTAAAAACGTTGAACAAAGTTAAAACCCTGGCTAGGACTCGGAACATCCTACAAAGATACACAGTCTAACAATGTGCTTCAATACCCACAGGTTCAAAAGAAGCAGCCAGGCATTTATAAAAAGTCAGCTATCAAAGAGCAAATGCTTTCAACGACCTTTTACATACATTTTTCACTGAAATTATTATGTTAACACCTACCGTCAGTTTCATCCTGACTTTGGGATTTCCCAGATACTTTTCTGGATGAAGATGGAGCCTCTACATCTTCGGTGTTTTCCTCAGCAGACGCATTTTCACCATCCTATGCACACCAACGATATTAGTTATCAGCTTTGTAACATGACTTATTCCTGTTTCGCCTAATATTTACAATTAGCATTTAGAGCACGGCTTTCCAGCTTTTGCACTGCTAGTGAAACAGGTAGAATAAGCGCTATATTTTTAAACGAACAAACTCCAGCATTACTTGCTTTCAAGACATTTATATTCTTATCAATGTGGGGCGACTCAGACGGTGACTGTTCACATTACTTTTGACTGAAGAGATTAGTCCATTGCTTGTTTGGCATTACGGTGAGGTAAGATGACATAGTTGACTATATTAAAAAAAGTTACAAATGTGTGACAAATCCTTTTAGAAGCCTGCTTTTTTAAACACAAAATGAAATATCAAAATAGCACTTGTTAACCCAGTAAGAAGGTTGCCCTAGGATATCACTTGTCCTTCCATGACAGCTGAGTTCTGCTGAATTTGCTCTCTGAAGATCAGGAAATACAGAAATTCAGTTGCACTTTGACATAAAGATGGCAAAGTTAAAGTTAACTACAACACTCCGATCAAGCATACAGAATTTCTCATAATACCTCCATCTGCTTTTAGACACAAAGCTGTGTCTCCCCGTATTTATTGCTGCTGAGAAGCCACAAAAATTACCAAAAGGAGTCAAACTGGATCTCTTCCTTAGATCTCACACAGAAGATGGTGGGGGAGCAGTAGCAGTATACGCTGGATGATTTTATATTAAAACCTGCTTCTGCTCATTGCTCCAGCCTAAAGAAGAAATTAATTACGGTGCCTGAAGGTAACTGCCGCTAGCTTTTGCCAAGTCCAGGGACGCAAGCCACACTGGCATGAACCAAAATGCTGCATTCTGCACTTCTGAAAGGTGCACGCTCCCCTGAACAACTTGCTCTACCAGTACCTAATCACCCTTACAAATTAAAGTTCGTTTCTTACAATTTTTGCACAGAAATTAACAATTATGTAGGCGTAATCAATAGCTGAGCACAGTAATCAATAGCTGAGCACAGCACCACTTAACATAAGCCCCCCCCCACAAGAGAGGAAGCCACGCTGCTCATGAAGTGGTCCGTGCCCTGCCCGGTGCTGTCACGGAGGGAGGGAGCGGGCCGGGCCGGGCCGGGCCGCGGGGCTCTCAGGCGGGGCAGACTCACCTTCTCGCGGCTCTTGCGCTCCTCTCGCCGCCGCTCGAACTCCTCGAAGGAGATCTTCCCCTCCAGGTAATCGATCAGCTCCGGGCTGAAGCCCGACATCGCGCCGGCAGCAGCCGGGAACGGGAGCAAGCCGCAGCCGGCGCAGGGGAACCTTGTTCAGGGCAGGACGCGGGTCCCTCCCGTTATGGCGCCCGCCCCGCCCCGCGCCCTCACGCATGAGTTCCGCGCCGCCGCGGCCCGGCCCAACGCTGCTGTCTTGGGGCGGGCGAAGCGTCGCCCCTTGGGAACGGGCAGCCGGCGTGCTTTGGGCTGGAGGGGTCTCCTGAGCCCGGGGGGCTGCGGGGAGCCGCGCCGGTAGGCGCTGCTGCTGCGCTCGTTTCCTCGGAGGGCCTAGCGGCAGAAGGGCACGAGGCGTGAGGAAAGCTCCTCTGTTACCGACCTCACTGTAGATGTTAGATTATCTTTTATTTCCCCAGAAATGGGAGCTATTTTTACATGAGAAGGGTTTCGTAACTTCATATGCGCACACAGTTATCGTGCAGATGACTTATTGACTGGGGCACAGTCAGAAGCGGGTATGAGGGGCTGGGGGTGAGGTACAAGCAGCCATCAGGGCAGGTGTCCCTGCCAGGGCAGGTATTTCCCCACTTGGTTCAGTCTCCCAAGCAACTAGACGACTTCCGATAAAAGAGCATCTGAAAAATTGCTGCAAAATACCTTATGAGGTCTAGTTCTAATAAATTGAAAGGTAACATTTATTTACCAATTTCGAACAAAGACACTGGGCAGTAGTTAAAAGCACTCTGTTGCACTCCTCATTTATTCACGTTTAAACACACACAACACTGCTAGGCAAACTGTAGTAGCCAAACATCACACATTTGTCAATAGACAGCAACTGTGCTAATTACAGCATGGCATCAGATTCCATAGGTAAAAACTGTGACAGTGAGGAAAATTTTAAATTGTCAGGTAAGAATTAAAAAGTCAAAGCAGTAATATTTTGCTGTGAAGGTTACCACTTCGCATGAAGTTCAAAAGTTAATGCCTGAAAAAGAGGAAGAAAAAAAAAAAGTGAGATGAATACAGAAATATTTATATGCAACCAGGGTATGATCCAAACCAAGACCTGGTAACACTGGCTGAAATACCCCAACTGAGTGCAGCAGACCTCTACTTCCAGAAAACAGTTCTGAACACTGAAAAGAACTACTGCGATCATCCTGAATTAAGCAGGACAAATTACTTCCACCAGTCATTTGCTCACTGCTGCTGTAACTTACAGTAGAGCTACAGCATCCTTTCTAAAGTCCCTTTTCATTTATTTGTCATGCACGATACTCATTGTGTGGTGCAATTTTTTTTTTCCTGACACAAAAACTTGGCAAAAAGAGAACTTAGTATTAAAATTTGAGTGCAGTCTTCATTATGATTCATGATAGTAAGAATAGCGGAGCTGTGCTTTTGATTACAAAAAGAGGTGTGGTTAAGCAGGCAGAAAGCAGGACAGAGCCAGAAATCCTAAGCTGAATATTAATTACAAATTAATCTTTAAGATATTGAGTAAATCACCAAAACGCTTAGATTCAAACCTTACTGAAATCTTCCACTATTTGTAAAATGGGAGAACACAATTGTTTACCTTTCCTCAGAATTGCCAGTATTCACTGACTCTCCAAATGAGATATAAAAGGATTTATTTGTTACAGACTATGGTTATGCATAGATAAAATAGCTGAGAAGTACCTGCTATAAATTGAGGCTGGGTTTATTAATAATGCAAGCTTGATCCACTTCAATTTTATTTCATATTTATGGAGAGATGTGAGTAAGTTTGCAATCCTTTTATCAACCTTCAATTTTAGTGGTAGAAATAAGGCAAATAGCATGAATGGACAAAGATGTAAAAGATAATGTATGCTTTGTTAGTGCAATATAGAATCATAGAATAGTTTGGGTTGGAAGGGACCTCTAAAGGTCATCTAGTCCAACCCCCCTGCCGTGGGCAGGGACATCTTCAGCTAGATCAGGTTGCTCAGAGCCCCGTCCAGCCTGACCTTGAATGTTTCCAGGGATGGGGCATCCACCACCTCTCTGGGCAACCTGTGCCAGTGCTTCACCACCCTCAGCGTAAATTTAGACATATCCTATGTCTAAATTGATTTTCTTAATATACATATATCACAGGAAACCATTAGTCTCAATTTATAATTTTACTGATATTAATTACTTTTAAAAAACCTGCATTCTTTATTATCTGTACATTTTCAGAATTCTTCTCCACATGAAAAAGGGGAAAAGAAAGGAGAAAAAAAAAGCATGGTCTATATAGGTCTGGACAAGCACCATGTGTTATTTTACTGAAGTAAATACCTCATAAATCTCTACCTCAGCAATTTTAAAGCAACTTCAGGCAAGAGTTAAGGTACTACATTTTTCATTTCTTCTGAAAAAGAAGTTGTTTTTATACTTCAGACAAGCGAGAATCACTCGAAGCCAAATCTTTCACTTAGTTACATGTAACAACATTAGAGGAAAAGGCATCCTCTTTTACCTTTTTCAGCAGCATCTTTCAGCCTTTGAAATAATTTGGAAAAGAATTTTTCCTTTCTTCATAATCTGCAAATGCAGAAGCAACAGGATCTGAGTAGAACATGACAGGCCTTGGTCCTTCATTGTTCATAGTGAAAGTAGCTGGGAACTTTCTGAGATCAAGACCCCTGCCCGAAAAATAAGCCTGGAGCGTTCTGAAAAACTGAAGATATCGCATATGTGAAAATAGAGCATGCCCAACGGAGATTGATTATTTCTACTGACACAAAGTAGATGTACTGTTTTTTCCTATGTGGAATGAAATCCTCTACTTTGATCGTAAAGTGGTACAATATAGGCAATATAATTCAGACATGTCCACTCTGTCCATGGCTTGTACATCTTACGTGCTGTCGAAAGACTACCAACTGTTTACTAATCATCCCTGTTGCTTGTTTACTGTGCTCCCTGCTGAACCACAGAGGATTCAATCTGTATCCCTTATAAAACAGGCACAGCAAAACCCTTGCTGAGAGTAAACAGTACAGTTCTGTTACATATTTTCTCTAAGAAAAATGTTCTCTGAGTTAGCAACATTGGGCAATTGATTTGAACCGGCCCCTTAGATTGCTTAAAAGTAGAAATTAATGCTGCTTAAAACAGTGAGGAAAAATTGTGGGAAACATTTTTTTTCCTTCACAAATTCCTTATAAGATCTTGCAAATGTTCTCTTAATGATATTTTCTTAGCTTTAATTAACTTTCAGATCTATAGCCACTATTCACGACAGTGTGTCAGATGCAAACTTATTTGTACTTCCAGAAGATGAAACAACATGCAATCAACAGAGTACACATTTGAGAGAAACATAATAATCATTCCTCTTCTGCTTCATAAAATGAGGGGTTGTATAATCAAAATACATTTTTAAAAACTCAAGCTGCTGGATGGAGATATAAGGAAGTTTTATGCACCACTGCATACCGAGAATGTCTCTTCAGTTAAGGGGTACATCTTGACTGAAGAATGCTCATCCAGTTGTGGTTATTGACTGTACAAAGTGCACCGTTACTAACACTGCATTTAATGGGCCCCTCTTACCTTTAAATTTAGAAGATAAAAATTCTCATGATGGAAAACAAAAAACCCACACAAAACTTAGGCTATCTTTCTTGCAGCATTTCCTTACCAGGTCTCTGTTTCTAGGGTTATCTAGAGGTTTCCATTTTTCTTCTGGTTGGAAAGGAGCACCCTTTGCCAATCCTCTCACAGCCAATACTGTATATAGACCCAGGAGCACCACTTTCCACATGTTGAAGAGATGAACAGACTATCTGTAAGAAGGACAATGAACCAGACTCCTTAAGTCCTACAGAGCTGTCACCGGTAACAAATAGAGCAAGCATGACAATCCAGCGGAGTACTGAAAATAATTTATCCATGGCAAGGAAAATCTGCCTACTGCAGATTATATCTGTGTGCTATCAACTCTTTTTTGTTTTCCTAGTACTAATGTATTAGGAAGAACAAATTATTCTAAAGAAGTGTTTCCTATACCAAAGCTATTTCTAGACACTGGATTCTCTTTTTGAGAGGGACTAGTATGACATTTAACACAAAATACTTACATTTGTAAATTTACATTTGTTATTACATCATTGGCCGATTAGTTACAGCATTAGATTTTTGTGTGCTCCAAGGAGAATGCAAAAATATGGCTTGAGATCCAGATAACTCAATTTTCAAAATTGCATTAAATGAAAGTGTACTACATAGATTAGTAAGTGCAATAATAATACAGCCTGGTATAACATACTAGAGACCCATTTCACAACTTGATTCAAGGGGAAAAAAAAAAGAAGAAGAAATAATTCTCCCTTTCGTGTTCTTTAAAATAAAGCTTACCAGTGAATTTGGCTCTGGCTTGCCCCTTCTTGGTTAGTCTCCTTGTAATCTGTGAACAAACTGATCTTTGCACTTATATTTCTAGTGGACTGTAGGTGGGTGTCAATGACGTTAGCAGGAGTTCAAAAATACAGTAATGATTCCATTTCCATCCATGACATAAAGACCCTTGAGAATTTCATCCTTAATACTCTTAAGACCTGTTGCTATCGAACAGTGCAGTGCAAATTCCTCCTCCCTAAGCCGTATTGCAGAAAATTGGTGGTAAGCCTATAATAAGTTTAAAACAATTCCCAGCAGAGATAGCAGAGCTGTATCAAAATACTAATTTTAATTAAAAGTAATTCGCCATATCTCTAGAATGGTGACTAACAGATAATTACAGCTGGTTGGATGGTTTTCAAGCAAGATGAGATATGGATCATTTTCCTGATGCTAGAGAGAGAGAGAGAGAGAAGTAAGCTCTGTTTCAAGATCCAAAATCTTAACAATTTAATGGAAGCGTTGCTTTCCTACCCTGATTTTATCAGCAGTCAATATCCTCCTGTCAGACTAGAAACTAAGACAAAGACTGCAAGGAGGACTGTGCTAATTTACCTTGGCCTTATTTCATAACATTCTTCATCTCAAAGCTGCTCAAATTTCTTGCTTATAATTTCATTATACTCTTCTCTCCACTATTTAGATGATACTTTAGTTAGTATCACATAAAATATATCTCTAAATAGA